ACACACACACACACACATACACACACACACTGCTGACTCTTCACATAGTCTAGAATAAAAATCCCTAAACGCTAAGCCACAATGCTGCACTGGTCTCTAGAACTCACAGCTGGAGGAGAAAATGTACAGGAGATGAGATTTTACCACTGATTCACTGACCCTCACACAATCAAACACTGCATCATGAATGTGAACATGGTGGCTTCTTTTGCTGAGATGCAGAGCACATTACACTTAAAGTCTTTCTGATAATATATGCAGAGCTTACCTTATGCTCCTTACTCTAAAGTCTCCTCCAGACAACTGAAGTCTCTGACTGCCTATGTCTCCTGGGAGTAAGTTAGCAGCAGTTAGCAGCTGGCTTCACCTGAGGATCGCTGACACAGAAAACACATAAAAAATGCATATTCAAAGACAATTGCTGAATGCCAAAGGCACACTGCACATCAAATTAGACACCACCTTTTAAAGTAAAATTTATTTTCTTTGGAAAAGTTTTTGTTAGAGATTAAAATCAAATGTCCATTTAAAAACAGTAAGAGGAGGAGAGTGGTTGCAAACAAAGTGCGAGGCCTGGGATTTGGTTACCAGCATTAAAATCATAATAGAGATAAGTAATAGGAAAACAGTAGCATAATCGACTTGGCCCATGTCTCTATTGTACCAAGGCTCTGTCATAATGTCTGTATTATTTACTAGGAAGAAAAAAGGGAATCACTGCCCCCAGCTAATCCACCTGCTACAACAGAGCAGTGCAAGGCACAAATGTAACCCAACAAACGTCTAGAAAGTTTGGGTAAATCCCATGATTGCATTTATATTGGGACTTTAAAGCCAAAGTTTTCACAGCTGGAAATGGAAGGTTTGGATTTTTGTTTACTGTTTTTGTATAAAGAAAAAAAAAAAAAATAATTTTCCCTGACAGGATAGTGACTGGTCTACACTTGCACTCAACTGCAACTGCTGCTTAACCTCCAGAAGCTATAAGCTTCATGAATGGAAAAAAATGCATGTTGTATCCTAGAGATGCCCACCTTTTAGAGCACACTTTTCAGGTTTTAAAATCTGATAAATATAAGTTCTTCAGCATTAGATGTTGAAATATGAAAAATTAGATGGATTTATGATTTCAACACTATTGTTCCACTGCATCTCATGTTTTCATTTTTCAGCTGCACGCACAATTTCCATTCTTAAATGATGATGACAAATGTAACCACAGTGAGTGGCTTCTTCCTCCTGGGGTTCTCTGACAACCAGAAACTGCAAATCCTATACGCTTTGCTCTTCTTGTTGATGTACCTGTTGAGTTTGGCAGGTAACTTTGTCATCATCACCATCACAACACTGGACCCACAACTCCAGTCTCCAATGTATTACTTCCTGAAGCACCTTTCCCTTCTCGACATCTCCTCTCTGTCTGTCACTGTCCCCCAGTCTATTCACAATTCCATGACTGGCAGTGGGTACATTTCCTATGCTCAATGTGTGATGCAGGTTTTCTTCTTCATATCCTTGGCCTGGGGTGAGGTGGCCATTCTCACAGTGATGTCCTATGACCGCTATGTGGCCATCTGCCTTCCACTGCACTATGAGGTCATCATGAATCCCAGGACATGCAGATGGGCTGTGACAGTTGTGTGGATATGTGGAGGCATCACAGGAACCTTGTACATAGCAACCACATTCTCTATCAGATTCTGTGGGGTCAAAATAATCCACCAGTTCTTCTGTGATGTCCCCCAGTTGCTCAGGCTCTCCTGCTCCAATGATTACGTTGGAGTGGTTGGACTGGCTGCTTTCATGTGTTTACTGGCATTTGCCTGCTTCATTGCCATTGTCCTCTCCTATGTGCAGATATTCTCCACAGCCCTCAGGATGCCATGCGTGGAAGGTCGGTCTAAGGTCTTCTCCACCTGCTTGCCCCACCTCTGTGTGGTCACATTTTTTCTGTTTATAGGTGCCTGTGCATATCTCAAGCCAACATCAGACTTAGAACCTGCTCTAGACCTCCTTCTTTCTATATTTTACACAGTACTACCCCCAACCCTGAACCCTGTTATCTACAGTCTAAGGAATGAGGTCATGAAGGGGGCTATAAGGAAATTACTGTTAGGTGGAGAATTCACTAGAAAGAGATTTGTTCTTAGTGGCTGGTACTGTTAAGCATAAGGAACATTTTTAGTAGTTTACTGCCTTTAATATGTAATGTTAACATAAGTAAGATATCGTCTAGACAAAGTATATTATAAATCTCTTCTATAATGAAATTGATGTGATTTTTCATGTTATTGGATTCAATTTTGTCCTTTTAAGTTAATAGAAGATAAATGATTATAATCTAGCAATATAAAACCAGTACCTCCTAACTCTCCTAACATTGGCACATGCATACATTACCAACAATCCTCATATTAGAAAACATGTTTATAGACAATATTACAATAATTAGAAGGACAGAGGGATGTATTTGCTGATAACTCAACTATGGGATATTTATCATTTAATTTCAAAAGCCCATTTCAATAAAATATGGCTTTAGAAAACATGTTTATAGACAATATTACAATAATTAGAAGGACAGAGGGATGTATTTGCTGATAATTCAACTATGTGATATTTATCATTTAATTTCAAAAGCCCATTTCAATTCCCATATTTCCACACATAAATTGTGTGTATTAGCACAAATATGTATGCCATTTTGCACATCCACATATTTAACATTTATAGTTCCCCTGGATGTAGATATTTCTATGTAAATAATATGAAACTGCTGCTAAACTTCAACTGTTTAACTTGTACCATTTACATTCTGTTTTCGTTTACTCTTATAAATCAAATAAAAAATGGAAATTCTTAGACACAGGCAGGATAGTTTACCCTCATAGTCCATGTACTGTGGAGGCAGAGAGAGGATATCTCTGTGATTGTAACACCAGTCTAGTTTACATTGTGAGTTCCAGCTCAACCAGGCTACATAGAGGTTTAAAAAAATCATTCATATCTTCCTAAGTCCAAAGAAAGGAGTGATTGAACCAAAGCATGAAAATGCTGAACACTTGCAAATGTGACCGCATTCAATTCCAAAGTACTGAGTATTCGACCAAGAGCAATGTGGGTCAGGTTTCTCTATGATATTTCAAAGGATTTATTATTTCATACAATATTAATCAAGCCCATTTTCTTTTCAGAGGTTTAAAAAAATCATTCATATCTTCTTAAGTCCAAGGAAAGGAGTGATTGAACCAAAGCATGGAAATGCTGAACACTTGCAAATTTGACCACATTCAATTCCAAAGCACTGAGTATTCGACCACGAGCAATGTGGGTCAGGTTTCTCTATGACATTTCAAAGGATTTATTATTTCATACAATATTAATCAAGCCCATTTTCTTTTAGGTGTCTACAAAGTACAGGTACCTTAAGGCATACAACGTCCTGGATATTGTGACATTTTATTCAGTGGAAATGTTACTTTGCTGAGTCTTTTCAAGTGTGTGAGATACAATTACTAACAAACGCATGGCATTTGCATATTTTTCCTATTTTAATTTAATTTTACAGTATTTTTTGCCTTTTATAAAAAGCTTTATTAACATCATGATCTCATATTTTATATTGACTAAATGGTTTTCTCTGTCCCTCTTTCAATTTTTCAAATCATTGTTTATATTGAAACTTTATAACATGTAAATTATGGTTTTTTACACATGTAGCAATGATCTTAACTGTTCTAGGTAATCAAGACATAACCTTAAATGACAATCTTGAGATTCTACCACCTTAGTTACTAGAAAATTCTATCTGCAAGAATATACCAATGAAATACCTTATCACATGTTCTGGAATATTTTTAAATATTTTATTTGTTATATTTTTATGTGCATGAGTGTATTGCCTGCATGTGTGTAAGTGCACCCATGCATGCAATGCCAGAGGAGGTCAGGAGAGGGCATTGTATCCCTTAGAACTGGAGTTACAGGTGGTTATTAGCTGCCATGTGGGTGCTGGGAATCAAACCTGAATCCTTTGCAAGAACAGTCAGTGCTCTCAACCACTGAACCAATTCTGAACCCACACTTTCTGAGATATTATTCTATTGACTTTGTATTTTATTTTATTTAATGTATTACTTTAAGGAAAATACTGATTCAAAAAATACTTCAAATGTAGTTTCTAATTTTATTACTATTATTACATGCTTAAATTTTTGCTAAATAATATATTGTTCATTACTGTGGAATATAAGTGGATGGGCATTCTTTGGTACATATATATATATGTTTTAATTTCCCTCTCTCTGTATCTCTCTCTGTATGTGTGTGTGTGTGTGTGTGTGTGTGTGTGTGTGTACATGCTTACGTGTGTGGGTGCAGGTGCTCATGCCACTGTACCTGTGTGGAAGTCAGAAGAAATGCTTCAGGTATTGGTCTTTGCCTTTCCACTGTTTTTTTTTTTTTTTCTTATTTGAGGCTCTATTCTTTCTATTGCCTATGTCAGGCTTTCTGGCCCAGAAGAGTTTGAATATTTTCCTATCCCCCTTCCCACTTCCCACAGTCTGAAGATTACAGACACTTGTGCCACCTCCTCAGGATTTCATGTGGGTTCTGGGGATCTGAACTCTAGGATATCAGGATTGTGCAGCCTGCACTTTTACCCAATCCCCCATCGCCACAAGCTTTAAAATGCTTTTCTTATCTTCTCATAGGAATACTTGGAGTGTCCTTATTCATCTCAGTAAATGCCATATTTGTCCTTATGATTAATTCTCATTATAGCAACCTAACATCTTTTCCTCTGTTATTGAAATGTAACGGATCTCCCCATGGAATACAAAGAGCCTCTGGCAAGATCTTTGCACTGTCAGTCCAAGATACATGCTCTGCTAATGAAATGCAGTCTTGATGAGTAGCACTTTAAGAGCATAGGAGTACAGGTGCATCAGCACAAGCCTGAGGACGTAAAGGTTTCATTCATACGGCAATTTTTTAATATTGACTCACGAGTCACAGAAAGATAAAATGGGATTGATTTGCTCAACTCTAAGGATAAAAAAGTGCTGCTTCTAAGGACGATGGGATGAACAATCATGGAGCTATTGGGAAGAAACATGTTTGACTTTGTTGGATCAATGGTTTGATCTAAAATACCTTCTTACAAATAATTGATTCAGGACTTTTTTGTCTTTTTTATCAAAGTTTGGATTTCCTTGCTTTCTAATATAGAGCTGGAATTGGTAGAATTCATGCTGCATTTTTATGCTTGGTTAATACAAC